CCTTTATAATTTATTCTTATCTACACCCTTGGTTTGTTTGGAATCTTATCGATCTCACATTCCGAGCTTGTTTTCAACATAAATGGAGATGTGCCAATATCTCTACCAAATGATATGTTGATCGCTTTAGTAGCTGGTCTTACAAAGTTTGTCCAATTATATTTCCGAATTCTGATAGTTTTCTAAGCTTACTCATGAGTGCGCGTATTATTTTTTCAATAGCTGTTATTTGATAATGGTATGGAAACACAAATGCATGTGTTGTTCCATATTGCCCTGTGAACCTTTGGATGGCCTCATCCTTGAATTCAAATACATAATCAGTCAATACCTCTTTGAATGCTTGTTTAGTGATGATAACTTCTTGGATTGTCCTTGATAGTTTGTACATTTTTATCGAGTATTATTTTTGATTTGACCCATTTGGTGCGGTGATCACTCGCCAAAGTTATGAATTTATTTTTCACTTTATCTGCGAGTCGGTTTATGAGGTCGATCTCATATAGCCAATTTTGCGTTATTTATAGTTTTATTCTCTGTATTTTGTTTTCTCTGTCATTCTTTTGGCATGTTGGGCAAGCTCCGCTGAATTTTTCGATGCCACGATTCGTGTTTTTCCAGTGGTAACGCTGTGTTATTAGGAATTGCAGCGTGTTACTTGTGCCATGTCCAGATATGATATTCGGTGAGTGTTTTTGTCTTTTCTTTGTCTGATATTCTATTCAAGTTTCCTGTTTCTTGGACTATGTTCATTCTAATGGAGACATCAACTGCATTGTATATGTCTTTTGCGTATTCTGTAGTAAATGCGAATTCCTGCAATTTAAGGACCCTCCGAGTAGCCTAATTGATGAATTACCGCGTGCATGTAAGTGGTGAGGACCCTATGATCAGTTCTCAGTTTAAATGTGTTTCTCATGAGGTAATGCTTATAGTGCTCTATTCCTTTTAGTACAGCAAGAAGCTTTTTATCGGTAGCAGATTAATTGATCTGATGTTTGTCGAAGCTTTTGCTGAAGGTAAAGCATTCCTTCTTGTCCTTGGTTGTTTGCTTGTTAGAGGATGGCGCCTATGCCGGTTTCTTATGCATCCGTAGTCACGATGGCATCCTTTTGGAAATAGAGTTGTGCTTGTTCAGGTAATTTTTCATGCATTGTTTTTTTTTCAAGGTTTCCCCTTGATGAGTTATTGTGAGTGATCTTTGCTTTATTTTTAGCGTTTTTACCCTTGAGAAAATTGACGAGTGCTTTGATTAACCCAAATATTCTGATTTTATATCCGTATAAATTTTTGACTCTTCCCGATATTTAATCGGTGTGCCGGCAATAGATGCTATATTCCCAATATATTGTTCATATTGTATGTTTTTGGGAGTAACGCTTCTCGTAATTGTTGAAGTGTCCACACCAGTGTCAATGAGGGTCACCCTCTGCACAGTGGATGGTTTTTGTGGAGATAGTCTCAATAAGATACAACTCAACAAAGTTTTATCTAGACTATTGTCATTTCCATCCACTTGATCGATCTTCTAGGTTTCCGGTCTCGTCTTGCTCACCCCTTTATGAGCTGTTGGAGCGTCAATTCGAAGTATTTGGGATTGATCCGCTTCTTTGATCCGGAGACAAGCTTATTCTTCCTCTGTATTTCTAAACTTACCTAAGGATCCTGCGGTCGAAGCCATATTAGAATTACAGTTAGTGTTTTATTTCTGTGTTCAAGATATATTATCGTTTTTAGAGAGTTTCGGGCTTATTAATTAGCGTTTATGTTGGCTATCATCCACAGCAATAATATGCAGAAATGCAGACAAATACAAGAAATATTACTAACAGATACTGATATAAATAATATACGAATATCTGATACCGTTATTTTCTGTTCGGTTAGATGTCTCGTTTGCGGTATAGCTGTTTCTACCTTTTGCTTTTCCTTCAGTATCTGTGTCTTCTCGGATATTGTTCCTATCTGATAATGATCATGTTGTACTACCATGAACATAATCCTTATGCGATGAATTTTGATTATAACCTGGATTGTGTGCCAGAGACATCGTTAACAGGCAGTTTATGTCATATGATTCGTCTTCCATATTAATTACATGCCTTGTGTTCGTATCACTTTGATTAATGGGTATTTGACCTGATTTTTTTCCATTTTGTTTACCTCTTCTACTTTAGATTCTAGAACATCTTCTGCTAGTCGAACAGACGTGTTTGCATGTGGTTGTTCAATTATCTGCTCATTACTAACATTCAAAAGTGGATTTGAGGAATAAATGTCCGATAATTCATCATTTTCTTGTTTTGCATTTCTGGTTTCATACCTATT